GCCAGCTCGCAGGGGCCCGGGGGTCACCCGCGGACACGGCTTTCCCTTCAGACGCGCGCAGCAGTCCACTCAGGCAGGTGGACGGAGGGGGGAGCAGCGCGGTCGTGGGCGCCAGACCGGACGTCGGGTCCCTGCCTTGTCAGGTGGACACGCGGTCCAGATGAGACGGCTCACGGGGCAGGGCAGCGTCACGTGGCGCCATGGCAAACCCCTCAGTCACCCCCCGACCTGCCTTGGCTGTCGAGACGCTTGTCGAAGGGGCATCTGGGTGAGGAGTGGGCCTGGGAGTTTTCAGGCTCCGGAGGAATGTAAATCTTGGGGTACGGTTCTGCGAGGCGGAACAGGGCAGGGGACAGCAGAGCGTTGGGCGGGGAGACAGGACGGGGTACAGGTAGGGGCGCGGGGTGGGGGCACCGCGTGCTCCCAGTGGAGTCGTCACAGTCAGTGGTCCGCACAGCGCCGCCTGTAACGCTGACCCGGTCCCAGATCGTTCTCACGGGGTCCTGGCTGTCACCTTCCGTCGTGCTGTGTGGGGGTGTGGCATCTGTCGTTCCTCGTATTTGGTGACTCCTTGGCCGAGTGCTGGGGTCAGCGGCACACAGACAGGTGGCGCTTCTGTCTTCAAGGTCACAGTCAGGTGGAGTCAGACATCAGGTAAATACAGAGGTTTAAGTCACGGCGAGTCCTCTGGAGAGGTCGGGTTTGTGCTGAGACTGTTCAGTCACGACCTGCGGGCTGCATGGGCCGCGGGCAAAGGGAATTCTGGGCAGAGTTTGGGGCTCAGAGGCTGGGGCGTGAGCTGTGCTCCCAGCTCGGGGAGGCGCCAGCAGCAGGGGGGCTGCGGGGAGCGACATGGGAAGCTGAGGCATTGCGGCTCCAGAAGGACGCCGTCCCGTCTGCCTTTGCATTTTTAAGTGTGAGGAGCAGATCCGCGGCGGGCGTGAGCGCGGGGGTGCAGAGGGCACAGGTGGGGGGTCAGCTCGCTATGAGATGCGTGGGGCTTGCGGTTCAAAGGAGGAGCCTGAAGGGCCCCCTGGGCGTAGCAGAGCACCTTCAGTAGTGCGGCCCGTGGGCAGAAACGAATGTGGCCAGCGAGTGGGCGGGACAGCGTAGTGACATTTGTTAAATCCCGGCGATAGGTTGCTTTGTTGGTGTCTGTCTGTATTTGACTCTGGAATACTTCATGGCTTTAATTTAAAAAAAAAAGAAAAGAAAAACAGGTGATGAGGAAGGTAAAACACGGCCTAGCTGGGCAGGTGATTCTCCAGAAACGTCTCTGCAGAGCGCAGTCGGAACGGTGGTGAGCGGAGCTCACGGTGTGCTGTCACGGGACTTCTGTTTCATTCTGGGCGACAGTCGTGTTTGGACGGGTGTTCGTGGTCAGGGAATAGAGCCGCAGGAAGGAATCACACGCACACAAGGGGTCTCCTGCCCCTCTCCCTACCCCCCAAAGCCGCCACCCCGTAAGTGGGGTTTTAACAGCTGTTCCATTGTGTGGCTGTCGTGAGTTACGTCCCGCGTCCCCGTCCCCTACTGATGGACACGGAAACGAGGGTTTTGTTTTGCTTGTTAAGATTAGACGTAAAGTCCTCCGAGCAGGCCGGAGGGAAGATGGGGAGATGCGGGGGGGGACATGGAGCGACGTCCAGGCGCTGGGACCCAGAGCACACCCCGGGTGTTTTGGAGAGGGGAGGGAGAGGACGGGAGGGTCGGGAGGCGGCGGGTCTCACCCGTGCCACGTGAGGGTGGCGTCTGCTGAGGCGAGGCGCGGGCTGAGAGGTCACACGGGCCACAGCGGAGTGGCCCCGCCAGGAAGACGCCGCGGAGTTGCTCGCTCAGCTTTTGGCTTGTCGGTCGAGAATTTAGATGGAAACCGGCCACGTTGTATAATTTCTCTCCCCACCTTTCGCCTTCTAAAGCTTGACAAATGTGTAAAGAATTTAAAACCTACTCACGTGAAACGCGTTGGGCTTGTGAACGTTTTCACGGTTTGGCTCTGTGTCCTTCAGAGGAGGGAACGCGGCTGGCGAGATGGTTTTCTCCCCGGACGGAATCGTGTTTACCGCCGGAGACTTAAGGACTCCCACCCACATTCCTCGTGCAGCCCCCTCAGAATTCTTTCCCGGGGGTTTCGGGGGTCCGGCTGGCGGGCAGTCCCCGTCCCGTGGCCTCTCACACCCTCCTCGAGACCCGGTTTCATTCTTGTTGAGTCGTGTTTGTTGTGTGACTCTGAGAAGGTTACTTAACTTCTTAAGGGTCAAATTTAGTGTCCCTCTTTAAAGCGTGTGGACCGTGGCGATACAGGCGAAGCGCGTCAGGACGGCGTTCGCGAAGTTTCCTGCGGCCCGGAGCCCGACC